CTCTCATACGATACCTGTAAAATAAAGAATAACATCAGGATTTTTTTAAGCAACCTACATACCTTATAAAAGTCCTGGAATAAAAAGGATTCGACAGAGGGGAAGTAAAACAATCCAGAAAATGCAAAATTAATCATCTCAATGAATGGTTTAAAAACAATATTTCCTTGAATATATGGATACATCACAAATAATTCTGAATTTACTGACTATGTGCATTGCATGAGGAAAGTTGGGTTTCTCTCGCTCAATGGACAGATGCTGGTTGAAGTTCCTGTGGGGCTGTAGAAAATGCGGGCAATTTGGGATCTGACAGGCATTACGCACAAGCAGGAGCCTCTCATCATATCTGAAAAACAAAAATATTCTGTCATATGCAGTCACTAGAAAATAGATACCATTTATATAATGTGGTAGCCTTAAATATATGCACACTGTAGTCTCCTTAGCTCGAGAACCAAAACTATCAAGGCTTTCATACCTGGAAAATAACAGTTTATTTTCATTCTTGTTTTTTGAAAAAGATAGACAGACATAGACATATCAATATATACAGGGCTTTCATATCTGGAAAATAACAGTTTATTTTCATTCTTGTTTTTTGAAAGAGATAGACAGACATAGATATATCAATATATACATTTTTTATTTTTTCCTTTTTTCCTTAAAAATGTTTATTTCCTAAAAGTATCTAAAATCATATAACTGCATCACTAAGTAGATCAGGCCATTCTAAGAGCCTCATTTTCCATACCATTTCTGTTGCAAATCTGATATGGGGGAAAAAAGTAGAACAGATCTTCCTTAATGCAGAACTATATATACAGATATATACATAAATACATACATATACATAAATATATATATATATATATATATATATATATATATATATATATATATATATATATATATATATATATATATATAATATATAAATATATATATAAAAATAAAATACACAATACACACATAGGGAACAACAGCAAGGAGAGAAAAGAAGGAGCAGAGACAAGAATAAAGATAAGAGAGGTAAAGAATAAACACCAAAGTTGATATGTGAGCTCACTTGCAATCACTCCTACCTGTATGTATTACTGAAGTTTTCTAACGTAACTTGAACTCCCCTGGCTTGAGCGGCATCGACAACTTGCTCCCGTGTCATCGGCATAACCAAAGGACTGTGGGCTTCCATGTACATCTTCCGCCACTTCTGAACCGTGTACTCTTCAGTCTGACAAAGAGATTATTACCCTGCACTTATCACACTATTACATTAAGCATGCAAGAAGAAATCATATCGATCTCTGTTTCAAGACAACAGGAACTATTGTACAAAACTATTCATACCTCCTTTGCCAGCGTAGACCTGAGACTGCGGGCATTTTCCAGAGCAATTTTCTTTCTGATTATCTCCATGGCTTCTTTTGGCGTTGGTAGATCTTGCGAGAGTCGGTCACGGGAGTTTCTTTGCATCAAGGCATGGCACACATACACCTGAATCTGTGATCACAAGCAAGATAAAAAAGAAAAAATAAGACTTCAAAAATGACAAAACGCATATCTGATTTAAGACAAATGTGTGTGTGTGTGTGCAAAGTGTGTGTGTGTGTTGCAAGTGTGTGTGTGTGTGCAAGTGTGTGTGTGTGTGCAAGTGTGTGTGTGTGTGCAAGTGTGTGTGTGTGTGTTGAGTGGTGTGTGTGTGTGTGTGTGTGTGTGTGTGTGTGTGTGTGTGTGTGTGTGTGTGTGTGTGTGTGTGTGTGTGTGTGTGTGTGTGTGTGTGTGTGTGTGTGTGTGTGTGTGTGTGTGCAAGTGTGTGTGTGTGCGTGTGTGTGTGTGTGTGTGTGTGTGTGTGTGTGTGTGTGTGTGTGTGTGTGTGTGTGTGTGTGTGTGTGTGTGTGTGTGTGTGTGTGTGTGTGTGTGTGTGTGTGCTGTGTGTGTGTGTGTGTGAGTGAGTGAGTGAGTGTGAGTGAGTGAGTGAGTGAGTGAGTGAGTGAGTGAGTGAGTGAGTGAGTGAGTGAGTGAGTGAGTGAGTGAGTGAGTGAGTGAGTGAGTGAGTGAGTGAGTGAGTGTGAGTGAGTGAGTGAGTGAGTGAGTGAGTGAGTGAGTGAGTGAGTGAGTGAGTGTGAGTGAGTGAGTGAGTGAGTGAGTGAGTGAGTGAGTGAGTGAGTGAGTGAGTGAGTGAGTGAGTGTGAGTGTGAGTGTGAGTGAGAGTGAGTGTGAGTGCATGCATGTGCATATTTGTATTACCTGTTCTTCACTGAAGGCTAGTGTCGTGGCTT